TTTTTTCTTTTTTTTTGTTTATTTCCCTTTTTCTTCGATACGGACAAATACCACCAGTAGTGATGTTTCACTCTACTAGATGGACACTCAGAAGACGTGTGGTATGGATCGTTCCCTCCCCATCGGAGGAAACTGTTCCCGATACTTCTGCATGCTGCTATTTTTGTTTTTTTTTTTTTGTTTTTTTTTTTTTGTTTTTTTTCTGTGTTTTTTGCTGCTTTGATTTGCATAGATTCCCGCCTCAAGTCACCAACAACATTTGGTATTGCCCACGGGCAGTAACTCTCGGAAAGTGACGATGACGGGACGCTATTTGAACAGGCGGAATATCCCTCGGACTCCCATCATTGGATATGCATACAAGCTTTCCACCCGGCCGTAGTTCTGGGTCATGAACCGAGCGGTGGTAGGCTTTTCAACTGACACGAGATCAGGGGAGCGGCGAGATGACAGTGCTTTGCGGGTGCCTTCGCCATGGATTACGAGGTGGATCAGGAATTGCTGGACCGAATGATCGATGACGAAGAAGACAGGGTATAAGCTTCCTCGCCTTATCCACCAGCATATCCTAGCCATTGCGATTGGGCACAGTACGTCACGCATGAGCCACAAAGTTGCACGTTCTCTCGCTCTTCACGCTGTTTGCACCTTGCACGCAAGGAATTGAGCTGCGGATGATGCTAGTTTTCTTTCTGTTTCAATTTTACGTTGGGCAGTTTGCAGACTGATCGAGTTGGGATCGATGGTGTTGGATAGGGAAGGGACGGAGGAGAAAATGGGAGTAGCTATCGAAATGTCTGCCTATGTCCTACTTGCTTTTGTTGCTTTGCTTGCTTTCCTTTCTTTCCTCGCCTTCTTACACCACCTGCAAGCTATGCCAGCGCCTCTGTCGCTCCGACTCCCAAAGCACCTATGATTGAAAAGCAGGTGTTCCCTCTGATGAAGCCGTGTACTTGGGGCTAGCGGCAGAAAAGCGCTTCAGGGATCGCCACTTCTCTCCCTGCTTTGGCTGTTGTGGCAGATCTACCATATTACGTGGAACTGCCACTAGGGATGCAGCGAGTCTCTTCATGACCTTCTTCCATGCGAGTATGCGCGTCACGTTGTTTGTTGAGTGGGATGGAGAGGAGAGTGGTGACACTTCAGTTCTTGGGCCAGAAAGAGAAGGCATCCTTTTGTAAGAAGGGTGTTGGATGTGTATTCAATTCAAATTCTCTCTTATGTGTGAATCCCAACCTTTGTATGGATGAATGGGGCATGGATTAGGGCAATAATCACAATGCATGACTTATTTGTTGACGCTCCCAAGCGTAGTATTTATCCACGAATCGTCCGTCAAGGATCGATAAAAGGATTGGATACTACGATAGATGGCGCTGAGTATTTTTATATGGTGGATGGCGCCGAGTATTTTTATATGCTGAATCGCAATCTCCGTATGGATGATCGTACTAAGAGAATAATCACTACGCACTGCTTGTTGATAGACTCCTGATGAGTCGGTGGAACTCCGACGAAACAGTTTGTCACAACCCCTCGCTTGTTGTCCTCTTCTCTCTCTGCATATGGTTTATCGGGTAGTCCTATTTGTGACGATATATATATATATATATATGATATATTCCGGCAAACGTGGTTACCCCAAACATAGTATCTATCCACGAATCGACCAACAATATCGACGAAAGGAATGGATACTATAGTGGATGGCGCCGTTTGCCCTCTTGAGCTGCTTCGCGATCTCTGGAGTAGTACGTTGCATGGCTTAGATGTAGTACATTTCCTTTGGCGAGCATGACCCCCCTCAAACATAGTATCTATCCATGAATCAACCGACGAGATCGGCGAGGGGATTGGATACTATGATGAGCGGCGCTGATCGCCCTCGGTCTCATATGCTGGAATCACGATCTCTGTATGGATGATTGGACAAGCGCTATAATCACGATACAGGACCCATATAAATAGATATATATATACGTATAGTCTATTTCTTTTTGGCAAGCAAGGTTGCCTCCAGGCACAGTATCCATCCACGAATCGACCGACAGGATCGGCGAAGGGATTGGATGCGATGATGGATGCCACCGCTCGTACTCGATCTCGTGTCTTGAATCGCGATCCTTTTATGAAAAATCGGGATGACCCAATAATCACAATGCATTGCTCATAATATATCTGACGAACAAGATTACCCCCAGACATAGTACCTATCCACGAATCGACAGACTGGAACGGCTTAAGGATTGGATACTATAATGGATGGCACCGACTGCCCTCGATTTCATGTGGTGAATGCGTGGAACTCCGAGATAGTTGTCACGTTTTTGCCATGTGAGTGAGAATCAGACAGGGTGGATTGCACCTCTTCATGCTGCTTTCGGATGCATTGAAACTGCGCATCTTGACCCATGCATGACAAGAGGCCTGTATGCAGTAGCAGATATGAATAAACTCCACCAGGACAAGTCGCAAGGATTGAATATGAATAATTCCCACGTAATTGTTGACTGGAGGACAGGTTCCGCTAACGGCTCTCGCTGATAGGCTAATGGACGGTATCGTTCCTCCAACCCACTGCTGCAACCGCAATCATACTACCTTCCCCCGACTGCGAGTATGATGGCCCATTTCACGCTTATAAAAGCAACTCATTTAGAAAGATACAGCCTTCTGTGTCGATGGGATTGTTTGTCTGGACGAAGGAGTCTGTGTGTCTTGGTGACGTATTACTTTATTGCATGCACCAGACAGACTTACATTATACCCCCCCGATCAGACTAATCTGACCCGATGACGATGCCAGAGTAGCATGTCTGATTCGGAGCATATTGGTGATGCTGCACGATTATCCCCCGAATAATAATTTCAAAAAAACGCACTTACGCCACGTGCCCGTCCACGTAGCTGTCTACCATGAACGAAGCAACAAGGCACAAACAACCTCACGTATGGATATAAAACGAACGAAACGACGATTACATTGTAACTCCTAGACACAGATTTCTACGCCCCTACGTAAGTATCAGATATATAATATATTATGACCACCCGATCACTTGCACCCACACCCTCGCATATGGATATAAAATCCCGCTAAATCTTTTTTTTTTTTTTTTTTTAGGTCGCCGACCCCCCTCCACTTTCGGCCCTTACTCCCTGGGAAGTCGACTTTCGGCAATGAGGGGGAGTGGTGGTTTAATACTCCCAGTGCACCCCCTACTATCCTACCTTTGTGTGACCAGCACTCGGGACTATCACCCTACCAGTATAGAGGGAAACTTAGACCTAACAGCAGTGACAAGCACCAAGGCTGGGCCAACCTCCCAGCCCTAATGGAAGCGGAAGCGGACGAACCTTACCGTACAAAAACTTTGGACGCCAGACTCATGCAATCTTCTACAGGCCCAATTCAGACCCCGTCATGCAATCTTCTTAAGACCCTTGAGTTAAGCCCTGCATGCGTAGACCCTGTTATGCACATTTGGTGAGTACTGCAGCCAAACCCTGAGAAATCTGTCTCCACATCCCCCAACCCCCACCCCCCATAATTAGCCCCCACATCCCCCATCCCCCATCCCCCAACCCCCGTCGTCCCAGTTGTGTGCTTGTTTTTGTGTTTGTGTGTGTTGTGTGTGTGTGTGTGTGTGTTTATGTGTTTTTGTGTGTTGTGTGTATGTGTGTGTGCGTGTCTTTTCTTCCTTTTTTTATTTGTTCTTTAACGTTATTAGTTTTTTAAAATACACTGAGTTAGATATATATATATATATATGGTTGTACACCTTTGAAAGATCTACAACACTATATTTTTTATTTGTTTTTCTTTTTTTTTTTTAGCCTTTTAAAAATCTCTATGAAACCCTCCCAAAAGAAAACACTCATTTCATTTTTGTTTTTATTTTTTTCATTCTGTTTATGTTTTTGATTTTTTTGTAAATATACTCAAACATAAAAAAAATAAAAATAAAAATATAAGGTTGTAGTCCTTGAAAAAACCTAGAACTCCCCCCCCCCTTTTTTTTTTTTTGTTGGATTACGTTAAGACCAGTCAAAAAATCATTGCGGATCCCGTTTATTCGCGTCTAACGCTCGTTTAAACGGGATTCGACGCAAATTCAACGCAGAACCCATGTTGAATCGAAAATCGGATATATAGTCTCTCGGCCATGTCCATGCTTGTGATTTGTGTATGACCTTAAAGAGCAGGGATCGTCCAGTAATTGCATGCGCCTTTAATGTTGTGATGGATAACTTGTGAATATGGTGTATAATATTTGGTGCAGCTTTCAGCCTTTTAGGCACACCATTTTATTTTTTATTTTTTTTGCACACGAATACTGCCGACTTCAATCGTTCGAATTTGTTTGCCATTTCCGTATTGATTCATCGATTGATTGATTAATTGATTGTCTGATACATCTATTGACCAATTAATTGATTGAATGATTGATCGATTGTTTGATTGATTGTTTGATTGATCGAATGATTGTTTGATTGATTGATCGATTAGTCGATGGATTGATTGATTGATTTATCGATCGATTTATCGATCAATTTATCGATCGATTGAACGATTGACTGATCGATCGATTGATTGATCAACCAATCGATGGATTGATTGATTGATTTATTCATCGATTTATTCCCTGATAGACTGATTGATCGATTGAAGAATGATCATGATTTTAGTGTGATTGAACCCGTCGATGTGACTCCGATGGGATCATCACCGAAGACACGAAGTACACAACCAAGCACATAATGAGCAGGACAAAAATTTGAACCGTAACATGGCCACACAGCTATAGAAGGACGGCTAAAAAAAGTGTTGGAGAAGCTTAAAACACAAAGTAAAGACGATAGCACCACCATGTTAGAATCGTTGATAGAGCATCGTCCATCGCTCTACAAATGTTCTTTTGTAATGTTCAGCAAAAAAATAATACTGACAATACGAAAACCTGACATCAATCTACACTAAAACAAAAAACAAAAAATGCATGGACCCAGCTATCGATGTTCCCCCACCCCAACCTTCCTCCCCCCTCCCCCTCGGCCAGTAGTCCGAGAACGGGAAGATGTCCCAGTCCACGCTGAATAGAATCGGGGATGCCTTCGACCTTCTTCTCGCTGCCAACATGTGGATCATGTGCATGGGTGGCCAGGACGCCCGTTCTAAGTACGAGGCGTTGTACTACTCGCAGCTTGTCGCGAAGCCGACACTGCTGGCCGCCGGGTCGCAGGCATTCAACTGGCGCAGGCATATTGTCGACTCCGCGGATGCTGTATTGTATCGCCTTGGGAAGCTGGCCTTGAAGTTGGGTACATTTCCCAACTACATCCCGGAGTGGCCAGCTTGCGGAATCAGCTTCAACTACAATGCCGGGTTAGACGCTGCGCTCCACTCCACCGCAAACCAACGACAGGGCACCACCATCGCCACTATCTTCGACTCCCCGCAAACGCACTCCTTCGCGGGGGGGTATCGCACTCTGGGGTGGGCCCCCCGGGCTCCAATTGGAGTTCTCACTGGGTTGGCGATGCACATTTCCAGAGATTCCATATCATATTCAGGCAACCAGATAGGAACCCCGTGACTACGTAGAATAAAAAATCACCGATTCCAATTCTATTGACTGTCCGGGAAGTGTTTCCAACCCCAGAGTGTGAGCCTCCCAGGAGCCTCTGAGATTGCGACTTGCAACTCCACAAGCGACCCGTGTCTATTCGTGCTTGAAAAAGATTGCCATCGCTGGCACCAAGGAACAGGCGTACTCCGTCGTGGTCCTCGTGAAGAGCTAATCCCGTGAAGGCTGCCCGTTTGTACTCCAGAACTCTGTCCATGTCTACCGCCGCGTCCGCACACGACGAGCCCAGCGTCAGACCAGAGAGAGAAGATATGCACAGCGAAAGCTCCGAATACACAGAGAATTGAAAAACGAATTTCAATTCTGCAACCCCTCGTCCTCCTCCAATCAATCCGGAGTACTTGTTCCAAGAATCGCAACCGCATTTACAACAACCCCGAACAACCAAAAACATGTGTTCAATGAAGTATGCAGTAGTCTTCTTCTTCCTCCTCACCACCTGATACCCCTGGCTAAGGCTGCCATAGCAGCAGTAACCCCACAGCTGTTACAACGTGCCAATCTGAACCAGCAACCCTAACGATACCAGCGCCAGCTCAGCGTCTGCGCGGAAGTGCAGTGCTAGAAGTCCTGATGAAGAAGGAGACAACGGATCCGGCACTTCGAAGAAGACAAAGTTCCTCGAGAGGAGGAACAGCAGATATGGCTTCCAAGTGGAAGATGGCAGCACCCAAACCCAACAACTCAGTCCTGTGGAAGCTCTCATGCAGAGCCGCCAAATAGCAGCAGTGCTACCTTCAACTTCGTTTCCCAACCCCAGCTATGGCTGGGCTTCGAGGAAGAAGATGACCTCGCCCAAAATAGAGCAGCAGCCCTCCAGCAACGGACGGGCAGAGTTTCCCCCAGCCAACGAAAAAAAAAGACCCACACCAAATTTCCAGCCCGCTACTTCTACCTTCTGCCTAGACCTACGACGCACTCCAAAGGCAACAACCTAATACTCGTCTGCATCTAGATGGAAACAGGGGGAAGGGGGGACCTAGACCTATGACCTATGACAAGGGAAAAGGAAAAGACCGAACGGCCTAAGGCTACCAAACAGAGGTTACAAGTGACAGACTTAGGGATCAAGTCCCATAGGGCGCAGCACTCACAAACAAAACACACAAGTTACAGGTCACGGGATCGAGTCCCCCAGGCTCCGAACAGGAAAACAAACTACGAAGCCAAATACTTAATGTACAGCCCCACTCGGAAACTGCGATTTATTGCATATATATATACCGTTAACAAAAAAGGAAGGAGAGTGTAACATCAGTACAGGCAGACCAGGTTCGTGACTCACCGAAACTCGCCATCGTCATGGGGAAGTTGGGGACGAGTCGATAAGCCTCGACCCATCTGTCATCGCCGTCAAGCGGTGCCATCCTGCCTCCATGAGCAGCATGTGAATGCACTGTACGATGTCCCTCATGGCTGGCCTCGATCTAGGATCGTACTGCACGCATTGCCAGGCCAATCCGATAGTGGCCATCACCATCTGCTTTATGGGATGATCCATCGCTTGCTCCCTCAAACGGGGATCAAGAATTGCGTAGGGCAGCTCGACACCCTGGTCGCCGACGACGGATCCATGATCATCTTTACCTTGAAGGAAAGGCTTCACCCACTCCACGAGCGTCTGCCATCCGACCCCAGAAGCTGCTGGTGCAAGGACCTTTTTACCCGTCAGCACCTCTAGCGCGAGGACCCCAAAGGAGTACACGTCGTACTTGTCCGACAGCTCACCTTTCAGCATATACTCTGGGCACATGTACCCAAAGGTTCTTCCGATATGAGAGGTCAGGACAGCATGCTGGCGCGAAGTCCCTAACACTCTCTCTCCTATAGAAGCTTGACCAAAGCCGGCCACAACGGTGTGGAGCCTCTCCCCCAAACCGGTACCCAGAAGAATGTTGTTGCTCTGGATGTCCCTATGGATGATGGGCAGACTGGCCCCATCGTGGAGGTAGCAGAGGCCTTTGGCAACCTGAAAGATGATGCTCATGCGCTCCTGAAGGGTTAGAGGGCGGAAGGCACGCGGAGGCTCCTTGCTGGGGGGGTCTGCACGGGGCTCGGAGCTTGGCTTGGGAAACAACCTGTCGTGCAAGTTGCCCCCGCCAAAGAATGGGTACACCAAGACGCAACGCCCTCCCTCCACACAATACCCGACGAGGGAAATGAGGTTGGCATAATTCAGTCCGCTGAGAGTGTTCACTTCTGCAATGAATTGCTTCCGCTTGGCGTCCGTCAGCTCGCCAATCATGACCTTGATTGCCACTTCCGCCCCGTCGAGTGAGCCCCTGTATACTTTCCCGAACGCTCCCTCCGCCCCGACCCGACAGACATCGCTGAAGCCGTAAGTGCAATCCGTCAGGTCTTTCAGGGGAAAGCTCTTCACGCGCGACGTGTAAAGTCCCCAGTTGTCAAGAGCGGTCGGTTGAGAAGGTACCGACTTGTCAGAACCCCAGATGTCTTGAGCGGTCGGTGGAGAAGGTACCGACGTGTCAAGTCCCCACTTGCCGTTGTCGCGAGCGGTAGGTTGAGAAGGTACCGACGTGTCAAGTCCCCAGTTGCCGCGACCGGTCGGTTGAGAACGTACCGGTCCTTGGTGATTGGCCAGATCGTGGTTCGCCGCGGGTGGGACCAAGTCGACTTCTGACTGGGTTGGCGATATGAATTCGGAGCACGCCTTTATTAAAATCCCGACTAAACATAGGAACCACACACCACCGTAAAAGCCCACAACAGCGAGTGCGATTTTCGTGGGAGTGTTTTCAATCGTCGGATGGTCTCCCAGGAGCCTTCGAGATTCCGACTTGCAACTCCACAAGCGACCCGTGTCGATTCGTGCTTGAAAAAGATTGCCATCGCTGGCGCCAAGGAACAGGCGTACTTCGTCGTGGTCCTSGTGAAGAGCTAATCCCGTGAAGGCTGCCCGTTTGTACTCCAGAACTCTTTCCATGTCTACCGCCTCCTCCGCACACGATGAGCCCAGCGTCAGACCGAGAACAGTACCCCTCTGTCCGGTCGCGAACAGGCGGCACCCGTCGGCAGTTGTCGCTAATATGGCAGCTGGGAAAGGGAAATTCGCGACAAAAGACTGTTCATCGGGCTCCCGACCGGTGCTCAAGTCGGCTACGAGAGTGCTAAGCGAAGATGTCACGTGATTATCGATCGCAAACACTCGCGCTCCGAATCTTGCACGCTGAGGCAGTTTCATCAGATGGCAGAGGCAATTACTGCTGCTGTCGGAAACCAGAGTCTCATACGGAAATTGCACACCGGTGGCATTCACATTCAGCTTCGAGGGAGAGACAACAACGTGCTTAGGCTCCTCCAGAGGCAGCCCGAACTCGCTCACCGGGACGGAGAGCACGCCATCGCCAGATCCGACGACCGAGAGATAGACACGCGTCCTCGTGTAGTCCATCGTTGAAGAGCCGACCGAGAAATTGAGCGGAACAGAAGATCGAGAGCCGTCAGCAAGAGACAAAGATGTGATCATGGAACGCCCGTCCCCACTCCTGACGCCAAGGACGAGATGCGAGCCTCTCCTCGACATGGCGGCCCCCGTTACGTAAGCCATGGAAGAGCGGGTGAACTTCCTACTAGCTTCTGCTACTCTTGTCCCGTTCGGCTCGTTGAAAGGCCACCAATAGCTTATCACTGTGGATTCGTCACCGCTGGTCGGGTCCGAACCAGGGTTCGTCTCGGATGGACAGGTGCTTCTGACGGACATAGCGTCATCGGTGATGGCACCGTCTGCAGAGGCGCACCATTGATGGAGGACGTAGTACAGATGATTGCGGGAAACAACGAGGTTGCGGACGTCCGATTGGCAATGTCCACGTGGCACTGCTGTATTGGCCATCACCGGTTCATGTGATCGTACAACTGCCCATGAACCGGCGACAAAAACCGGCGAGCGCGCCAGGGGCAGGTCSGGATGCGGGTGCAAACCCGACAAGACTGGTCCCGCCCTCGACGGACCGACACGTGTSCACTTCATGAGACGCCCGACATTTGCTTCGCCGAGCGAGTCAGAGAACGCAGCCCCTGATGACAACCCCCCAGCCGACACGTGTCCATTCCCAAGTGACCCGGACAGGACACGGCAGCCGCACAGGAAAGCCACCAACGACACCCAACCGAAGAAGAAGATTCGGACAACGACATAGCAAAACATATGATATCGCTGAAGTTCACTTAGCGGCACACCTACCCGCCACCGCCCGTCCCCTCCCCTCCCCCTCAACCCAGTTGTTAAAATTTCATAGTCGCAGTGCTCACTCTACTCTGTAAATCCTAACTAATGACTTCAACATGCTACATACCACTCTGCCTCTC